TGTGTTTCATACCATGACCGATTGGACAGGACGGATCCGTCGTCATCATTTGGTGATAATTACCAACCATAAATATAATTATCAACCATAAAACATAATTATCGAGGAGTCTAGAGATTTTTTAGGAAAGGAAATGCTGCTCTGCAACCCAAATGTCGCGATATGCAGGTAATTTGGAGGTAACATTTTCAGCATTAGGATGCTTGGTCAATACGAGTTACACTGTGTGTGTTCTTTTTAGCCCTGGGAAGAAACCGCAGAGCCCATGCACAGCAGAGGGAGGGAGAGAATAAATAAATAATAAACACGGCACGCTGAGAGGCGCCTGGATCGAGTGTGGGGCGCGAGTGTTGCACGCGCTGTTGCCCAACAAACAGGTCCCTGCAGGGTGGGCTGGTAGGACAAGTCTCTGCGCTGTCTATTGCTGATTTTACACCAAACAGCACGAGATTTCACTTCGTTAAAGTATTGAAAGGGGACGGACGGACGGACACATTAATCTATTGCAGGCTGGTACACTCAGTTTACAACTTCGTTCCTACCAGTATAAAGTTCCACTTCCCCCTTCGCCTCGCGCGTACCCACAAATATATCCCGTATAGCCTTAACATTATAATAAGAGGTTTTCCCCTTTTTCTGGCAACAAAACAGCTGTGTTAAGACGTTAAAACACCAAACTGAAACCTTTTGCATGGAATCATGTCGGCATTAATACAAACATCAGAGCATGTTTTGATTCCTTGCCAAAGGTATCAGCTTGGTGTTTTAACATCTTAACACAACTGTTTTGTTGCCAGAAAAAAGGGGAAAACCTATTCTCCTATTCTTATATTTTGACACCGGCAAAGGAAGCCCCCATGATGTCGCCTTAACATTGTTGGGGCAAGTGCCGTTCGTGATCACCTCTGAAGGGGAGCCCGGCACACGGCGGAGTGCGCGACCAGAACCACGCCAAGCCGCCATCGTCTTCCGAGTGGCGATGTTTACACACCGCACCAAGTACTCGTTTGTTTGAGGCTGGGTTGACCTAGGCGAGCCCCAGGACCATTTCAAATAATCGTCATGTGTACCGTATTGACCGTGTGCGGGAATTGAACTGGGATCGCCGGGCTCGTAGCGCAGGGGTCTCACCACGGACCCATGGACCTCCCTGCCAACGCACGCGGCGAGCCCAACACCAATGAACCGAGTAATTCGCCTCCCGTGGTGTGCGACCCCCATCTCCAAATAAATAGGAGGGTGTTGCCCAAGGGCAATAAGCGACAGGCAATTAGAACTCGGCAAAGGTAAATGCACAATCGGTAATGCGCGATCTGCAAGATGCAATACACAAAACAGAATAAGCAACACTAGACAATACACAAGGGGCAATACGGAAATTACAATACGCAATGGGCTAAAAGCTTGCGTCCAGATTATTTGTAAATGTTCACGTTTTTGATCTGTAAAACTTGAACCAAAGGTTGGCATTACAATGAAAATTAGGAGTGCATGGATTGGAGGGCATACAAAGGGGGAACTACGATCCAGTGACTTGGGGAATACAGAATCAAGCTGAGACACTTTAGATATGCAGACAAACGCCCTGACACGGTGAGACAAGTGGACACGCGATGTCTTCACTTTCTTGCGTTGATGTTGTGCTGTTCACTTGACATGAATAACACCGCTCCTTCGTATTGACTCCGAGTTAATCCCCCTTTTTCCCCCTTTAATGTAAAATAATCTTTTGGAAGGTTCCAGAAGGGACGGGGATGTTCCAGCAACACAACTCCCGCCATGAGTGTGTGGTGGGAGTTGTGTTGCTGGAACAATAAGGTTCCCTTACCAGTCCTCGTGTGGACTACATTCACTTACATGCAGAGACACGGTGAGACATGGAGATACGTGGACACATACACGAGGAGACACGGAGCCATGCACCTGGTCGCGAGAGTAGTCCAGTTGTCTCGGATCCTGTGAAAAAGTTTCCACTTCGATTCAGCTGGACACGTTTCCATAGTGTACCCCACAATCAAGTGTGCGTGTTTATTCATAGTGTACCCCACAATCAAGTGTGCGTGTTTATTCATAGTGTACCCCACAATCAAGTGTGCGTGTTTATTCATAGTGTACCCCACAATCAAGTGTGCGTGTTTATTCATAGTGTACCCCACAATCAAGTGTGCGTGTTTATTCATAGTGTACCCCACAATCAAGTGTGCGTGTTTATTCATAGTGTACCCCACAATCAAGTGTGCGTGTTTATTCATAGTGTACCCCACAATCAAGTGTGCGTGTTTATTCATAGTGTACCCCACAATCAAGTGTGCGTGTTTATTCATAGTGTACCCCACAATCAAGTGTGCGTGTTTATTCATAGTGTACCCCACAATCAAGTGTGCGTGTTTATTCAGTGTACCCCACAATCAAGTGTGCGTGTTTAAATCTTGACTTAAAGCTTTCGTGACTAAAGGAATTCATACTCTTTGGGTCTTTCGGTAAAGTCAAGCAGATCGAAAAATAATAATACAAAATCACGACGTTTCGATCGCAACACAAGCAATCGTCTTCAGGTGAAAAAAGACAGCAGGCGGACTGCTGAGTCCACACGAGTACTGAGGCAGTCCGCCTGCTGTATTGTGTTGCGATCGAAACGTCGTGATTTTTTTAATTTTTCTATTTACGTGACTTTACCGAAAGACCCAAAGAGTATTGCGTGTTTATTCATAAAAAAAAATCCAAATTCAGTGGGCGGATCCTCAAAATTTGGAGGGAATAGCCACAGGAGAAAGGACTGCTTAAAATGCCATCTGCCCAAGAAGCCACAGTATGTTTATTTATCATGCACCCAATAAGCTAGTGTGTGTTTATTCATCATGCACCCAATAAGCTAGTGTGTGTTTATTCATTACGTATCCAATAAGTCAGTGTGTGTTTATTCATCATGCACTCAAAAAGTCAGTGTGTGTTTATTCATCATGCACTCAAAAAGTCAGTGTGTGTTTATTCATCATGCACCGAAGAAGCTAGTGTGTGTTTATTCATCATGCACCCAAGACGCCAGTGTGTGTTTATTCATCATGCACCCAATAAGCTAGTGTGTCTTTATTCATCATGCACCCAAGACGCCAGTGTGTGTTTATTCATCATGTACCCAAGAAGTCAGTGTGTGTTTATTCATCATGCACCCAAGACGCCAGTGTGTGTTTATTCATCATGCACCCAATAAGTCAGTGTGTTTATTCATCATGCACCCAAGACGCCAGTGTGTGTTTATTCATCATGCACCCAAAACGCTAGTGTGTCTTTATTCATCATGCACCCAAGACGCCAGTGTGTGTTTATTCATCATGTACCCAAGAAGTCAGTGTGTGTTTATTCATCATGCACCCAAGACGCCAGTGTGTGTTTATTCATCATGCACCCAATAAGTCAGTGTGTTTATTCATCATGCACCCAAGATGCCAGTGTGTGTTTATTCATCATGCACCCAAGACGCCAGTGTGTGTTTATTCATCATGTACCCAATAAGCTAGTGTGTCTTTATTTATCATGCACCCAAGAAGCCAGTGTGTGTTTATTCATCATGCACCCAAGACGCCAGTGTGTGTTTATTCATCATGCACCCAAGACGCCAGTGTGTGTTTATTCATCATGCACCCAAGATGCCAGTGTGTTTATTCATCATGCACCCAAGAAGCCAGTGTGTGTTTATTCATCATGCACCCAATAAGCTAGTGTGTTTATTCATTACGTATCCAAGAAGCCAGTGTGTGTTTATTCATCATGCACCCAAGAAGCTAGTGTGTGTTTATTCATTATGCACCCAATAAGTCAGTGTGTGTTTATTCATCATGCACCCAAGATGCCAGTGTGTGTTTATTCATCATGCACCCAAGAAGTCAGTGTGTGTTTATTCATCATGCACCCAAGAAGCTAGTGTGTGTTTATTCATTATGCACCCAATAAGCTAGTGTGTTTATTCATTACGTATCCAAGAAGCCAGTGTGTGTTTATTCATCATGGACCCAAGAAGCTAGTGTATGTTTATTCATTATGCACCCAATAAGCTAGTGTGTTTATTCATTACGTATCCAAGAAGCCAGTGTGTGTTTATTCATCATGGACCCAAGAAGATAGTGTGTGTTTATTCATTATGCACCCAATAAGCTAGTGTGTTTATTCATTACGTATCCAAGAAGCCAGTGTGTGTTTATTCATCATGCACCCAAGAAGCTAGTGTATGTTTATTCATTATGCACCCAATAAGTCAGTGTGTTTATTCATCATGCACCCAAGATGCCAGTGTGTGTTTATTCATCATGCACCCAAGATGCCAGTGTGTGTTTATTCATCATGCACCCAAGAAGTCAGTGTGTGTTTATTCATCATGCACCCAAGAAGTCAGTGTGTGTTTATACATCATGCACCCAAGAAGTCAGTGTGTGTTTATTCATCATGCACCCAAGAAGCCAGTGTGTTTATTCATCATGTACCCAAGAAGTCAGTGTGCGTTTATTCATCATGTACCCAAGAAGTCAGTGTGTGTTTATTCATCATGCACCCAAGAAGCCAGTGTGTGTTTATTCATTATGTGCCCAATAAGTAAGTGCGCGAAGCCTCTGGAGGAAGCAGCCACCCCCAACCATGATTATAATTAACACATCAAATGAATTCAACACTTAAGAGTGGTGCAAGTGATAAACGATGTATATAACCAAAGTGACAGTACTGAGCGGTAGCACATTCACCACTCGAGCAGAGGTTCACGGTTTGAATCTGGCAGGCCGCCCTGGTTATAACTGCGGGTGTCGTCATTACAAATGCGTGCAGTCTGCTTCACAGAAGATGTTAAAGATCCTGTGATATTGTTTGTAAAAAGTAGGCCATTGTGTGCTGGCTTCATGGTCCAAATTCTCCACTATTGCGAAATTACTGCAGACTTCATCTGTGAAACAATGGTGACTCCCTTTGTGATGATTGCCCTGCGTGATAAGAACGATCGCGCCAATACCCAACGTGCTCGATTTTTTTTTATTCTGATGCAAGAAGTATATTCAGTGTACTGCGTGTTGATGTCAGAGCCCACAAATTAATCGTTCTCACTGCTACCCTCGTGGGAATCCGCTTCGCCCCAGATGCGTTCCAGCTCGCAGAGCCTCGCGTTCATCCTCCTTTGCATGGAGCGGTGCTCCGCGAGCAATCGCGCCACCTGCATCTGCAGGGCCTCCACGGAGTGCTCCATATCGCTCAGGGCTCCCCCAGGGATTGCGCAGAAACCGCCGCCGCCGGTAGGCGCGGCAACAGCGACGTCATCGCTCAGAAGGGCCATGCCCGCCAAGATCTGCCTGCCCTTCTCCTCCATGATGTCGCGTGCCGCGGGGTATTCGCACAGCACCTCTTGCAGGTCGCCCTTCGAGAGACAAAATAGGTCCGAGTAACCGATGCTCCTGATGTTTGCCGTGCGCCGATTGCCCGCTCTGCTGCCGGTGATGTTCAGGAGGCTGATCTCACCAAAGTAGCTGCCCTCCGCCAAGACAGCGTGCAGCGTGACGCCGTCGTCCGCTACCACCGCCAGGTTCCCATCCTTGACAAAGTACATCTCCCTGCCGACATCGCCCTTCCGGCACACGTAGTCCCCCGCGCTGTAGAGCTTGGGCCGCAGCTTCAGCACTAGCTCCTCCAGCAGCCCCATCTCGCAGTTGCGAAACAGCTCCACTTTGCGCAGCGTGTGCATGTGGACGTCGATGGCGATGGCGGCCCTGAGCGTGATGGGCAGCCGCCGCAGCGCCGCCTCCTCCTCCCCGCCGAGCGCCTTCTTGCCGAAGTGCAAGAACTCGAGCCAGGTCACCACCCTGCGCTCCGTCTCCTGGCCAATGCCGTGATACTTGACGTACTTTCTCACCTCGCAGAAGTTTGCTATGAACCGCACGTCGGCTTTGTCCCGTAAAACGATGCCCGAGATGTACTCGACAATGGTGGCGAACGCAAATACGGTGATCAGCAAGTCAACGATCATGAAGGCGTACTCCACGTCCTGCTCGGCCCGGGGCATGTTGCCCACGGTGAAGAGGACGAGCGACGAGAAGAAGAGGGAGTGCAGGTACTGGTGCGCCGTGGGCGCGAACGTGGCCGTCGAGGTGTTAGGGTAGACCCAGCCGTCGGTGCCAAAACCGATGTGGGCGGACAGCAGGAAGTAGACGCACGCGTTCCAGTGGACCATGGCGTAGATGTACACGACCAGCTTGAAGATGCGGAAGCTCTTCGGGTATTTCGTCCGCGTCTCGATTTGGTCGAAACAGTCGAACACGCACGAGACTCGCAGGAGGCGGTTGAACCGCAACTCGGGGCGGTTTGTGCCGACCCACAGGTAGAGGATGTCCGTTGGGAGGACGGACAAGACGTCGAGTTTGAACCGAGATGACTGCAAGTAGCGCTCACGGATCCTGACCACGTCCGTTACCAGAAACCCATGCTCCATAAAACCTGCAAACACCATGTGGATGACGAGTTAATGGTGCAGCCGTACACATTCAACTTGTTTTTTTAAATCCATACAAACATCCCAATACCTATAAATTACTCAATTTGGATAAGACTCGGCACATGCATATGAATATACTGCGCATGGCTCGCAATTTCATGTCGAAACAATCTTTGCCACTGTGACGTTGGCGTCGAAGGCATCTCATGTGACTCCTAAACCCCGTAAATCCGGTTGCATTCGATTGTTGTGCCCAACAATCGAAAGTCCAGAGAGAAGACTGGGAATGGACACCAGACCGATGAAGTAGTGGCTGTCGCCAGACTCCGCAATGCCTGTGACGAGTTTGGGCTTCTCTCATCTGTGTGGTTGATTTGCTGATGTCACTGTTTCCTAACTTTGATTATTTTCCAGAAGGGTTGCAGCTGTTGGAAATAGTCAGGGTATTGTGTTTTTTGGGGCATTGGGTTGTTCGTTCAATGCACGTGTCACGGGGTTCGTGAATGGCTGATCTATAAACATCTACACCTAGCAATATTGGAAACATGACATTGAATGTGTTGATAATTAATTATATTATCAGCCATGCTGCAGTGCTACACCGGGAATAGATGAACTTGTGTTCAGAGAGGTGTAAAGACTGGTCCTGGAGCAATTTATTTATATAATGATTGGTTACTCGGTGGCTGAAGTAGGAATTGTGTCTGATTGATATCGCATGCAAAAGGCTGTGGGGGCATGAGGCCACGGGGTGGCAGAAACCCCGTTGGCTTGGCTGCTACGGGGAGGAGAGGTGTTGTTGTGCAGTCACTCTAGAGTTTGAGTATATCTAAAATAAAGAGTTTGCGCTGGATTCCAGTGACCCGTGTCTCTCCTGCGTGCGTTTATATCGCACCATGCACAACGCGAGCGGTTGGATCTGAGGTGAGAATTTTGTTTGTCCAGATACCGTTGTAGAGCACATGGGCACCTAAATGCCATGCTAATGTCACGGGGCGAGGGTTCACTCCATGTCACCACTCTACTTGTACAGTACGTACAAAGCTTGCGCTACGATGACGGCGAACTGGACAACGGCCTTATGGTTGTCTGGATCGACTCGTCCCCACCAAAGGAATGTGGAATTTGTACCACTGCCTCAGACTGGAAACAGGAGAGCAGCACCACCTCAATGCTCATTTTAGCGAGAAATCACTTTTACTCTGCAGGTGTGAAATATGTCAATGGCATAGTGAGAAGGGGTGGCTCAGTGGTTAGCGGACAGCACTAATAAATAGGCGATCTAAGTTAAATTTACTTGCAACCAACACGAGTGAATATCTGATCCATTAGTGCACCACCCCTAGATCGACCCGGCCTGAAATGAGTGCCTGCTGCAGTGTGTAAACATCATCACTGTGGAGACAAAGACGGCTAGGCGTGGTGGTGGCCACACCATCACGCATAGGTGCGCCGTCGCAGTCTCCATAGCTGCTCGCTAATATTACTCGAACCACAACCTGTGGGCCACACGGGGGAGCGGGGCTCTGTGCTGACGCGGTGCCGTGCCGGTACCAGTACCAGTGCGGCTCGCAAGGGCCATGTGGGCGAGGTAGACGGCGTCGCAGAGGTAGTCCACGGGGAGCAGTAGCGCGGCGTGCTGCCTCTGGATGTCTGGGAAGCTCGCCCTGCGACTCAACAACAACAACATAACAAGCACGCCATAGGCCTCAGACCTGTTCCTCCACATTAAAAACGGGTTTTTTTAACACGTAGGCTTTCGCGACCAATATCATCCATAATAAAGGTGAGTTCCATCGCGTAAATGTGTGTCGTTAAAACTCGCCACCACCAGACACAGCCAACTAGTAAGGGTTGTCACGTAAACAGAACGTGGCCAATTCGTCACTAGTACAGCACTAACCGGTGTGTTGGAGAGCCAAGCCACAACATTTACAATCTGAGTACGACGTTTCGCCAGTAATTCAACTAGCGTCATCAGGCGACATCCAGATTTGTGGACAAGTCTAACTGTTTCGTTCCTTATGTAGTGACGTATATTGGGTCACTACGGCGTTTAGTGCCAGTTACTGAGAGAAGAGTGAAACTGTGCGTGTCAGAGCCTCTCTCTGACACCAGAGTCTGTTATGGAATGGAAGGGGGACCGAGGGGACATGTTCTGGTGACTGTCAGAGAGAGGGCAGTTGAGAACGTGACAGTCTGGTTGAATTCCAAGAGGGCACGTGACCAGGACAGCGTAAGAATCAAATAACACGAACATTGAAACTGCCCAAGTAATTAAAACGATCAAAATACCGTACATTGCGGGAGCAACTGATAAACTCGCCAGATGTTTGGAAAAGCAAAACATCCGAGTCAGATTTGGCACGGTACATAAAATACAGAAATTAATATCTGATACAAAAGATGTATTACCGAAGCTATCAACAGAAGGTGTGTACAGAATTAACTGCACGTGTGGCAAATGTTATGTTGGGCAAACAGGACGAATGATCAGCACGAGATTAAAAGAACATCAGAGAAATATTAAATACTCCCAAATACAACTGTCAGCAGTAGCAGAACATGCGTGCCAAGAAATACACTCAATTGATTTTAATAATGTTGAAGTGCTGTGCAAAACTAGCTACTACTGGCCAAGACTAATTAGATAATCTATCGAAATTGAAAGAAATAAAAATAATTTTAACCATTCGGATAGCTACTGCCTCAGTGCTGCGTGGAAGCGAATTACTATTGAGCCAATAATGTGTGAATGTGTTTCGTGACGTCAATCCACATGGGACACCCCCCCCCCTAATTAATAAACCCGTCCTTGGACGGGCAAACAAGCTAGTCGTCAAATAAGACATGATTTAAATGTATGCCTATAAAGGGCACCATACTTTAATAGGGATTACCGTTGGTACGGATATTTTAATACACAATAGACAGGAAGGACAAGATCAAAGGGCTCACATAATGCACATGCATAGTGCACGTTGACTCAGTAATACCCTCCCACCCTTTCACTTTGTGCAAGAGCGCAGAAGTGTGGTCACCACATCTACGCCTCTATATAAGAAACGAAACAGTTAGGCTTGTCCACAAATCTGTATGTCACCTGATGAAGCTAGTTGTAATTACTGGCGAAACGTCGTACTCAGATTGTAAATGTTGTGGCTTGGCTAACCAACACACCGGTTAGTGCTGTACTCGTGTAGTGTGTTGTACGGAGGCACACACTGGAGTTGGAGGCAACACTTTATTTAACAGCTTCCCAACAAGGTAACTCTAAACGTACACTGGTTCTAAGTGATAACTACACAGTTAACTCTGTGAGTAACGGGTTAACTACACGAACGAGTCAGTCAGCTGACACCCTGCCTGGCCCACGATGCCGAGCGCAGACCCAAGGGACGTAGCACCCAGGGTTGATTGCACAGACGAGCCCCAATTCCTCTCGGGGCTTCCCCTTGATCCCTTCCGAGCACCGCTTTGCTCCGCCTTGGGCCACGCCCCCCTCTGGATCTTTCCAGAAGGCCTCGGCTCCCTGTCACGTGTCCCTCGAGCCCCCTTCGACCCCCCTTGCTACCCTGTCTCGGTCACGTGCCCTCTCGGGTTCACACGGAGTAGCACGTCCTCATTTGCTCTCCTCCCACCCTTGCCAGAACCATACCCCCTTATGGCCAGCTTCCATGTCCACCTATGGGCCTGGTGACAGAGACGACTCCCTTACGTACGTTTCCACTCCTGCGCCAGTAGCTGGCGCTAAGCGCCGTAGTGACTCCAAACACATTCCTGCGGAGGGAGCTGGTAGGAACGTTGGGTTGCTCGGTCAATGGCCAGGGTCAACGGCGGCACCACGTGGTGTATTCCACAAACATGACTGTGAGGGCGGGCACAAGCCGGCGTGAGTAGGTTAAACGTTGAGTTTTATAAGGGCACCACGGGGTGACCAGCCACTCCCCACCCAGCCCCACCCCTCCCACCCCCCACCCAGCCCCTCCCCACCCTCCCCTCCCCACCCAGCCCCTCCCCACCCTCCCCACCCAGCCCCTCCCCACCCTCCCCTCTCCACCCAGCCCCACCCCTCCCATTTTTGGATGCACGACGGACGGACACAATCCCCTACCAGTATTAACGTCACTACACTAGTGACGAATTGCCATGTTCTGTTTACGTGACAACCGCTACTAGTTGGCTGTGTCGGGTGGTGGCGGGGTTTAACGACACATTTATTTACGTGATCTAACCCAAACATATATTATGGATGATATTGGTCGTGAAAGCCTACGTGTTAAACTGGGCATTGGGATGGTGAGTCAATATCGGCTACATTACACATTCCGTCAGACACACACCCCGTCAGTCTACGGGAGTGCAGAATTCTGGCACCTTTAGTTCAATATACGCAGAACTCTTCGCTCAATTCCCGACCCGGGCTCTTTTTCAGTGTGAACTTTGTAACGTTCTCCTGTTCCTCAATGGGTTCCATCCAGTGGCGTAGTGACGACTTTACCAGCTCAGGGGGTTCAGTAATCGGTTAGGTGGGGCCCCAATGTTGTATTTGTCTCGCGCAGTCACACCCAGGCTATGTATCGCGGCTCTTCTTGCCTAATCACATCGTCACATAAGGGTTGCTGTGTTGTTGTTGAACTGTTGTTGAAAACAAATCTTACGGTGGTTGTCAAGGGGCCCCAACTCGTAGCTTTGGCCACCTGCCTCCACGATCGTGACGTCACTTCCATCGGTGTTCAGCAGTTTCCTCCCATAGCTAAGACAAAGATCCCCCGTATAGCCTTAGCAGACTGTAGGGGCAAGTGCTGTTAGCGAGCACCTATAAGAGAACACAATGTCACTGACATTGGTCAATCATCCCAGTGCTAGAAAGTTTACCTGAAAATAACACAACGGCGATCAACAATAACCGCCGATCACCACTAAGTGGCGGCGACGTCACCACCGGACTTGTGCCAGGCTAGGTGCACTTTGAGGCCACGGGAAGTGGCGAAGGCCCACTGGCGCGAGGTCACGGAACAGACCCAGCAGGTGCTATGGGTTGACTGAGATGGCTGGCAGATACACAAATTATGCAGATACACACATTTGTGCAGATACATAAATTGTGCAGATACACAAATTGTGCAGATACATAAATTGTGCAGATACACCAATTGTGCAGATACACCAATTGTGCTCCCCACTGCCAACTCTCTCAAATTTTATCTGCCCGGCGCTCCGCTTGTTGTTGTGAGCGTCGCTCCTCTGCTGTTGCTGGAGGGTGACTTTCCACCTCTCCAATAGCGTCCTTCACGAACCTCCTCCACAGAAGCCGATATTGACGCTACTGGTACCAGTCATCGGCAAGTCCAATCAACTCCACGTCCGTCTGTACCACATCAGTCATCAAACTGCTTTGTGTTTAGTTTGTTTTCTTTCCCCCGCATCTCCGATTAGCACGGTTGGCTACGTACGGTGCGAAAGAAGTTAAACGTAAATTTGGTCTATCTCTTCTCGAGCAGGTGCCGCCCGTTGAGCCCCATCTATCCGGCCGCACAGGAGATGCTTGGGCATGTTGTGGCTGAGCATACGAGCTACATGACCCAGCCAGCGCAGCCTCGCTTGCCGGAGGAGCTCGCTGATGTCCAAATCTTTCAAGGATCTGTAAAATCCTCACAATCTGGTTAAACCCAGGATTGATCGTATGCAGGCAAGCCTCAACTGGGATCACACATACAGCAGCAACATTGCCCCCTACTGCGGAAAACATGGCAAGGCCCTTCTAAAAGACAGCCGTGAGACTCAGGAATTCCTGGGTGAACATGCGGAACGATAACAACTACGGGCAGCTGCTGCATCACCTGCAGATGATGGCGAGCCAGTTGTAGATGACGGTGACACAAGCCACGAGCTGCCAGCGACTGTGCCACCCTCCGCCTGGGTCCACCACACGAGCCTTGCGATCCTGCTCGCTAGCACAAATAGTTTAGATGTGGATGTAAATGTTATGCAAATGGTATGTGTTTTTGTATTAATGGTATGTAGTTTGTGTAAGTGGTATGTAAGTGGTATGTGTTTTGGTATGTAAATGGTATGTAGCTTGTGTAAGTGGTATGTAAGTGAAATTTCGATTTAAAGCTTTCGTGACTGCAAGGATTCATCTTCTTTGGTTCTTTCGGTAAAGTCACGTAGAATGAGAATAAAATAATAAATTGATAAAATAAAATAACAATAAAATTCTTACGACGTTTCGGCCACAACACAAGCGGCCTTCATCAGGTGAAGGGACGAGACTGTCTGGAGGACAGCGCTGGAGCGAGTGGTATGTGTTTTGGTATGTAAATGGTATGTAGTTTGTGTAAGTGGTATGTAAGTGGTATGTGTTCTTTGTGTAAATGGTATGTAAATGGTATGTGTTTTGTGTAAGGGGTAAGTGGTATGTAAATGGTATGTGTGTTTGTGTAAGTGGTATGTAAAACATACAGTGAGGGAAAAAAGTATTTGATCCCCTGCTGATTTTGTACGTTTGCTCACTGACAAAGAAATGATCAGTCTATAATTTTAATGGTGGGTTTATTTGAACAGTGAGAGACAGAATAACAACAAAATCCAGAAAAACGCATGTCAAAAAATGTATAAATTGATTTGCATTTTAATGAGGGAAATACGTATTTGACCCCCTCTCAATCAGAAAGATTTCTGGCTCCCAGGTGTCTTTTATACAGGTAATGAGCTGAGATTAGGAGCACACTCTTAAAGGGAGTGCTCCTATTCTCAGCTTGTTACCTGTATAAAAGATACCTGTCCACAGAAGCAATCAATCAGATTCCAAACTCTCCACCATGGCTAAGACCAAAGAACTCTCCAATGGTGTCAGGGACAAGATTGTAGACCTACACAAGGGTGGAATGGGCTACAAGACCATTGCCAAGCAGCTTGGTGAGAAGGTGACAACAGTTGGTGCGATTATTCGCAAATGGAAGAAACACAAAAGAACTGTCAATCTCCCTCGGCCTGGGCTTCATGCAAGATCTCACCTCGTGGAGTTGCAATGATCATAAGAACGGTGAGGAATCAGCCCAGAACTACACGGGAGGATCTTGTCAATGATCTCAAGGCAGCTGGGACCATAGTCACCAAGAAAACAATTGGTAACACACTACGCCGTGAAGGACTGAAATCCTGCAGCGCCCGCAAGGTCTCCCTGCTCAAGAAAGCACATACATGCCCGTCTGAAGTTTGCCAATGGACATCTGAATGATTCAGAGGACAACTGGGTGAAAGTGTTGTGGTCAGATGAGACCAAAATGGAGCTCTTTGGCATCAACTCAACTCGCCGTGTTTGAAGGAGGAATGCTGCCTATGACCCAAAGAACGCCATCCCCACCGTCAAACATGGAGGTGAAAACATTATGCTTTGGGGGTGTTTTTCTGCTAAGGGGACAGGACAACTTCACCGCATCAAAGGGACGATGTACGGGGCCATGTACCGTCAAATCTTGGGTGAGAACCTCCTTCCATCAGCCAGGGCATTGAAAATGGGTCGTGGATGGGTATTCCAGCATGACAATGACCCAAAACACACGGCCAAGGCAACAAAGGAGTGGCTCAAGAAGAAGCACATTAAGGTCCTGGATTGGCCTAGCCAGTCTCCAGACCTTAATCCCATAGAAAATCTGTGGAGGGAGCTGAAGGTTCGAGTTGCCAAACGTCAGCCTCGAAACCTTAATGACTTGGAGAATATCTGCAAAGAGGAGTGGGACAAAATCCCTCCTGAGATGTGTGCAAACCTGGTGGCCAACTACAAGAAACGTCTGACCTCTGTGATTGCCAACAAGGGTTTTGCCACCAAGTACTAAGTCATGTTTTGCAGAGGGGTCAAATACTTATTTCCCTCATTAAAATGCAAATCAATTTATAACATTTTTGACATGCGTTTTTCTGGATTTTTTTGTTGTTATTCCGTCTCTCACTGTTCAAATAAACCTACCATTTAAATTATAGACTGATCATTTCTTTGTCAGTGGGCAAGCGTACAAAATCAGCAGGGGATCAGACAACTGTGTGCCTGACAACTTATATCATGCAAATTTGTGTCCCATTGTCTATGAGCTTTAGCCCTCCTACATCGCTGGCCTTCTTAAAGCCTCGGGACAGATTTACTTTACCCCTTAACTGTGCGCGTGTCTCCCCCCCAAAGGTCTCTCTACGGTAAGTATTCCATCACTATCTTAAATTTCACACAACTTACAACTTAACAATCTTTGAAACAGCGTATTCAACCAAACCATGCGTTAATTGTGTTTTAACCGACCGTTTGTGTTGCTTTATATAGTTTCCAAATTTTGCTAAACCCTGTTTGATTTAGTGTGATGTTCCGTCTCTCTGTGTCCCTTGGTATATCTGTGTTAATTCTATACTCTTTGGTTCTATTGGGTAAAGTCACGTAGGTGATTTTTTGTTATTTTATTTTCACCTACGTGACTTTACCCAATAGAACCAAAGAGTATGAATCCTAGCAGTCACGAAAGCTTTAAATCTAGAATTGTGTTAATTCTCCCTACTTAAGGTCTGTCTGCGGTTATATGTTTCCTCTACCTGATGATGATTGCTTGTGTTGCGATCGAAACGTCGTATGCTATTATATAATTTTATTTTTTATTATTTTTTATTATTTCTACGTGACTTTACCGAAAAAAACAAAGAGTGGGTGATGAGTCTAAACCTGCAGTGTGGTGAGTGGGTGGTGAGTCTAAACCTGCAGTGTGGTGAGTCTAGACCTGCAGTGTGGTGAGTGGGTGGTGAGTCTAGACCTGCAGTGTGGTGAGTGGGTGGTGAGTCTAGACCTGCAGTGTGGTGAGTGGGTGGTGAGTCTAGACCTGCAGTGTGGTGAGTGGGTGGTGAGTCTAGACCTGCAGTGTGGTGAATGGGTGGTGAGTCTAGACCTGCAGTGTGGTGAGTGGGTGGTGAGTCTAGACCTGCAGTGTGGTGAGTGGGTGGTGAGTCTAGACGTGCAGTGTGGTGAGTGGGTGGTGAGTCTAGACCTGCAGTGTGGTGAGTGGGTGGTGAGTCTAGACCTGCAGTGTGGTGAGTGGGTGGTGAGTCTAAACCTGCAGTGTGGTGAGTGGGTGGTGAGTCTAGACCTGCAGTGTGGTGAGTGGGTGGTGAGTCTAGACCTGCAGTGTGGTGAGTGGGTAGTGAGTCTAGACCTGCAGTGTGGTGAGTGGGTGGTGAGTCTAAACCTGCAGTGTGGTGAGTGGGTGGTGAGTCTAAACCTGCAGTGTGGTGAGTGGGTGGTGAGTCTAGACCTGCAGTGTGGTGAGTGGGTGGTGAGTCTAAACCTGCAGTGTGGTGAGTGGGTGGTGAGTCTAAACCTGCAGTGTGGTGAGTGGGTGGTGAGTCTAGACCTGCAGTGTGGTGAGTGGGTGGTGAGTCTAAACCTGCAGTGTGGTGAGTGGGTGGTGAGTCTAGACCTGCAGTGTGGTGAGTGGGTGGTGAGTCTAAACCTGCAGTGTGGTGAGTGGGTGGTGAGTCTAGACCTGCAGTGTGGTGAGTGGGTGGTGAGTCTAGACATGCAGTGTGGTGAGTGGGTGGTGAGTCTAGACGTGCAGTGTGGTGAGTGGGTGGTGAGTCTAGACCTGCAGTGTGGTGAGTGGGTGGTGAGTCTAAACCTGCAGTGTGGTGAGTGGGTGGTGAGTCTAGACCTGCAGTTTGGTGAGTGAGTGGTGAGTCTAGACCTGCAGTGTGGTGAGTGGGTGGTGAGTCTAGACCTGCAGTGTGGTGAGTGGGTGGTGAGTCTAGACCTGCAGTGTGGTGAGTGGGTGGTGAGTCTAAACCTGCAGTGTGGTGAGTGGGTGGTGAGTCTAGACCTGCAGTGTGGTGCGTGGGTGGTGAGTCTAGACCTGCAGTGTGATGAGTGGGTGGTGAGTCTAAACCTGTAGTGTGGTGAGTGGGTGGTCAGTCTAGACCTGCAGTGTGGTGAGTGGGTGGTGAGTCTAGACCTGCAGTGTGGTGAGTGGGTGGTGAGTCTAGACGTGCAGTGTGGTGAGTGGGTGGTGAGTCTAGACCTGCAGTGTGGTGAGTGGGTGGTGAGTCTAAACCTGCAGTGTGGTGAGTGGGTGGTGAGTCTAGACCTGCAGTTTGGTGAGTGGGTGGTGAGTCTAGACCTGCAGTGTGGTGAGTGGGTGGTGAGTCTAAACCTGCAGTGTGGTGAGTGGGTGGTGAGTCTAGACCTGCAGTGTGGTGAGTGGGTGGTGAGTCTAAACCTGCAGTGTGGTGAGTGGGTGGTGAGTCTAGACCTGCAGTGTGGTGAGTGGGTGGTGAGTCTAGACCTGCAGTGTGATGAGCGGGTGGTGAGTCTAAACCTGCAGTGTGGTGAGTGGTGAGTCTAGACCTGCAGTGTGGTGAGTGGGTGGTGAGTCTAGACCTGCAGTATGGTGAGTGGGTGGTGAGTCTAGACGTGCAGTGTGGTGAGTGGGTGGTGAGTCTAGACCTGCAGTGTGGTGAGTGGTTGGTGAGTCTAAACCTGCAGTGTGGTGAGTGGGTGGTGAGTCTAGACCTGCAGTTTGGTCAGTGGGTGGTGAGTTTAGACCTGCAGTGTGGTGAGTGGGTGGTGAGTCTAGACCTGCAGTGTGGTGAGTGGGTGGTGAGTCTAAACCTGCAGTGTGGTGAGTGGGTGGTGAGTCTAGACCTGCAGTGTGGTGAGTGGGTGGTGAGTCTAGACCTGCAGTGTGGTGAGTGGGTGGTGAGTCTAAACCTGCAGTGTGGTGAGTGGGTGGTGAGTCTAGACGTGCAGTGTGGTGAGTGGGTAGTGAGTCTAGACCTGCAGTGTGGTGAGTGGGTGGTGAGTCTAGACCTGCAGTGTGGTGAGTGGGTGGTGAGTCTAGACCTGCAGTGTGGTGAGTGGGTGGTGAGTCTAGACCTGCAGTGTGGTGAGTGGGTGGTGAGTCTAAATCTGCAGTGTGGTGAGTCTAGACCTGCAGT